GGAAGAGGAAGTGCCATTGCTACCTAGCATCATCTCATCTAGTTGCTTTAAACATCCATTGATGAACTTTGCAAACACAGTTTCCCAAAATGTGTCTCTTCTTCAGTTATATAGCAGACATCATAAGCAGTTACTGGATAACAATGAGAAAATCCTACAATATGCATTCCCAAGACCTCAGCTGCACCAATACAGAAGTTGCTTGTAGAATGACAAAGTTCAAGTGTCATTTTGAATTCAAATTCAGACAAAAATCGAAGATATCTTCCTCAGCTAAGTTGGGTATATAACTCCACATGCGAAATCTTCAAAAGCCTAGAATAAAGTATGAATTCAATTGCGTATACATGAATTCATTGTGTGGATTCACCCCTTCAACACAACCATTGGGAAATATACCTAGACCAAGTTGGCAAGGGCCTTAGCAGTCTAACTGGCCTCTTCAGCTCTCCTGCTCCTTCTGATTCAAATCACTTACTCTCAGCTGTGCTCTTTCCTAGTCCCACTATTTCATTATTGAATGCACAATGCCTCTTTTTCTCCAATGAGCTCAGTAGAATGCTCTCGGTTCTTCTGCTCCATGTTCTCCACAGAGAAATCTACTGTGTGAGGTAAATCAGAGACATGGTGAGAGAGAGAGAGGCTGGTTGAAGGTCGCTTAGCAAGTGTCATGGCACATTGAATGTGGACTTTCCAAGTACCTTTCCAACCTTCTAACAGTTGTAAACCAGAAATGGGGGAAGAATATTTTCTGGACTGCAACTCCCAGAATGCTCCACTAAAGATAAATGTTCTAGGAGTTGCAGTTAAAATACAAAACAAAGGTAGGCCTTTCCATAGTCCTTTAACACGGCAGGGGTCTCATAAGCCCGCCACGGGTAGTTCATGGACTAAGGAAAGGGGCCTCAGCCCCCAGCATTTTGGGGTTGAGTATCTCCCTCCACCACTGCCAGGAGCAGTAGGTCTCCTTTTGTGGTCACTAGCAGTTCCTCGTTTGAGGAGTATCGGGATGGAGAACGGCCCTCCTCTCTTGAGACTGAGCTTCTCTGCACCCCTAAAGTAATCTTTCCCTTTTTTTCCCTTTCACCCCCAACCCTGGATCTGCGTCCCAAAGCCAGTTGCAGGAGGCAGAGAAGCTGAGCCGAGCTTTGCGCCTGGAGCTGGAGAAGACGAGAGGGGAGCTGAAGGCCCGGACTCTGGAAAGTAAGATGCCATCCAGACTTGACTATAGGCAGGGGAACGAGCAGAAGTATTTTAGAGGTGTGCAGTTTTGTTTTGTTTTGTTTTGGGTTTTTTTTGGACTACCATTTCCAGAATTCCTTAAGGAAACAGCATGGGGGAATTCTGAGAGTTGTGGTCTTAAAAAAACACAAATCTACACATCTCATAGTTTTGCTCATTCTCCCCATTTTTCAGGCCCGGACAGTTTTCTCCCCCAACAGCCTTTCATGGCTACCCTCAGGGCCTGCCCTCTGAGGCCATAGTCTACCTTTTCCTCAGGGTGGGGGCCATCCCTGTTGACAGAAAGGGGGGGCTCTGAACAGAGATTTAGTGGAGCAGGGCTGCTCCAATTCTGAAAGAATTATTACCTGTTGCAGGGGACACTTTTCCCCCAGAGGGGCCCCAGAATGGGCAGATAATTTGAAAAGGGGGGAAAAAGGGGGGGCTGTTAATACAGTTATATGTACATCCCTTAACTCCTTGTACATCCCACCTACTTTTATTTTATTCTCACAACAGCCCTGTGAGGTAGATCAGGCTAACAGAGAGAATGACTGGGCCTAGTTCATTCTAGAGAGTTCGTGGCTTAGCTGGGTATTGAACTTGTTTCTCTCAACTCCCAGTGTCATACTCTAACTTGTGACCCAGTTAGAGTATGAGACTCTAACTGGTTTAGATGAAGGCTGTAGACTATCATGCATGGGTTGTAAACCCTAAAGCCGCTAGAGAAAGTTGGGACTATTGCGGTTAAGAACAGAAGCAATCCCCCAACTTTCTGTGTGTTTTCTCTGCTCATCCGATAGGCAACAAGCACCAGGGACCTCTGATTCCATTCCTCTCCTTCCGAAGCAGCAACGTAAGTCTTTTGTTACATGCCGTCAAATGCCTTTGACTTACTGTGACCTGAATAGGGTTTTTGAGCTATGTGGGACGTGCACAGAGTCGTTTACCATTGCCCGCCACCTACCAGCAAATTTTCGTTACGAAGCAGGTTTTTCAACCCAACTCTCCAGAATCCTAGTCCACCACTTTTGACTGCTGACTCCTAAAAGGGCACAGCTGAGGAATAAAGCCGAGGCTGAGCCAGGAGCTCGCAAACAGGGCAGGCTCACAGGAGGTTCATGGGGGAGGCTCTCAACAAAAATTTCGGGATTTGGGGATATATATTAGCCACATCAAGGGAACAAAATGAAGGAAGGGGCATTCGTAGAGAAACAGGTTTAAGCAAAAAGCTAACGGGTTATAGAGAGAAAGGACACTTCAGTTGTGGTGACCTGCACGTTTGTGCAATGTTCGTCTTTTTGCCTGAGTGTAACATGGCATACACATGCAGCAAGTGCAAGCTGGTGGCACTGTTAGAAGAACAAGGGAGAGAACTGGAGCAGTGAACAGCCACAGTTTAGGCTGTAAGGGAAGATGAAGTATAGATTGACAGGATTCATGGGCAGCAGCAGCAGTCAATGAGACCCTGGAGGTGGAAGAGCAAAAAGGGAATGTCTTTTTGCCTGTGTGTAACATGGCATACACATGCAGCAAGTGCAAGCTGGTGGCACTGTTAGAAGAACAAGGGAGAGAACGGGAGCAGTGAACAGCCACAGTTTAGGCTGTAAGGGAAGATGAAGTATAGATTGACAGGATTCATGGGCAGCAGCAGCAGTCAATGAGACCCTGGAGGTGGAAGAGCAAAAAGGGAAGGCAGAAGAGGAGAATTTTGAGGAGAGAGGAAATTTTGTGGAGGAAGCACCGCGGAAAAGAGTCAAAGTTAGGAGCAAAACAAAAGGGAACACTTATCTTACCCGATGGAACTGCAAATCCCCTTTTAGGTTCTTGGCGAGGAGTCTGGCAGACAGTAAGCAGATGAAATCAAACAGGAGGCCTTGCAGGAGTATATGAGAGGGACTGAAACTCAGCCTGCAGAGGCACTGAACCCACACCCCACAAAAAGATGAAGAGCAGCTGTAGTAGGAGAATCCCTGGATCAATGTGGTTGGGGTGAAAAACAAAAGGGATATGATAGTTGGAGTACGCTGCCTCCCTCCTCTGCCTTTCCTTGTTGCTCTTTCACCTCCGGGGCCTCCATGGACTGCAGCTGCTGCAGAAGAAAATGATCAATTGGTTGGAAAACAAATGGGAAGGAGGCACCATGTAGTAGTGATGGGAGAATTCAGTTATCCGGATATATGTCAGGAGGCAAATTATGCCAAGTGTGGTCCTTCCAAATAATTCGTGGATTGTGTGGCTGATAATTTTCTCCTACAAAAAGTGGAGAAAGAAACTAGAGGATGAGTTATCCTTGACTTGATTCTAACCAATAGAAATGGCTTGATGGAGGAAATGCAAATAAGAGGAATTCTGGGTGAGAGTGACCATGTTCTACTACAATTCTTGATTTCTGAGGGAACCAAAGCAGAGTGGAGCCGTACATAAATGCTGGATTGGGGAGAAAAAGCCAGTTTTAAGGAACTTGGATAAGGTCCCATGGCAGGAGATCCAGCAAGAAAAGGAGTCCAAAAAGGGAAGGAGCTTCCAAAAAAGGAAATTCTAAAGGCACTGCTACAAACAAGAAAAAAAAGTTTGGGAGACAGCCAAAAGGGCCATCGTGCCTTTGCAAAAAGCTCAGAGAGGACCGAGAAAACAAAAAAGGACATATATATATAGGAAGTGGAAGGAAGGCTGGGCAAAAAGAAAGAGTACAGACAAGACGCAAGGAATTGAAGGGATGGTAATTATGACCATCCAGACAAATGTGAAGTGCAGGAGGAGGGGGCAAAATTGCAGCCGGAGATTGATATAAACAACTACTCAAGGAATACCTTATTACCTTGAATGAGTTCAAATCACCAGGGCTGGATTAATTGCATCAAAGAATGTTGGAGAATCTGGCTGAGGAATGGTCAGAATTACTATCCATTATTTTCTTGATATCATGGGAAAACGGGTGAGGTGCCAGAGGATTGGAGGAAGGTTAATGTTGTCCCTATCTTCAAAAAGGACAAAAAAGAGGAACCTGGGAACTACAGACCCAGTCATCCTGACATCAATCCCAGGGAAAACTCTGGAACAGATTATATAGCGGTCACTATGCAAACACCTAGAAAACAAAGCAGTAACAACTAGAAGCCAACATGGATCTGTGAAGAACAACTCCTGCCAGAATAATCTGATCTTATATTTTGATCAGGTAACCTCTCAAATAGATAGAGGGAATGCTGTAGATATAGTATATCTTGTGTTTAGCAAAGCTTTTGACAAAGTGCCCCATGATATTCTGTTTAGCAAGTTAAACTAGCTGTAGGCTGGATAGAACAACTGTCAGGTGTATACACAGTTGGTTACAGAATTGTATTCAGAGGCTGATGATTGATGGCTCGTTCCCAACCAAGGAGGTAACAACTGGGGTACCCCAGAACTCAGTCCTGGACCCAGTGCTATTCAGTACTTTTATTAATGACCTGGATCAGGGGATGTGGGGAATATTAATCAGATTTGTGGATGACACAAAATTGGGTGGAATAGCTAATACCATGGAAGACAGAAACAACATTCAAAATTATCTAGATAGGTTTGAGGACTGGGCTGAAAACAACAGAATGAAATCCAACTGGGGGTAAGTGCAAAATACTGCACCTAGAAAAAAGAAACCAAACACACAGTTACAAGATGGGGGATACCTGGCTCAGCAATATGAGCAGGAAGAATCTTGGAGTCATTGCAGATCACAAGCTGAATATGAGCCAACAGTGTGATATAGCTACAAAACTGGCAAATACTGTTTTAAACTGCATTAACAGAAGTATGGTCTCCAACTCCTGTGAGGTAAGGTCATGAAATGAGGAGGCTGATAGTTTATGTGATCACAAGTAATTAGGATAGCAAATAGTCTTAGAGAGAGAAGTTAAAGAAGTTAGCCATGTGCACAAGGATGTCTGCCAGCGGTGCTCCTGATGGGCGACTGGTAGAAGGAGATTACCGCTATGCCCCCAGGAGGACTCTCTTTTATTAACCTTACAAGCTCACAGATAGTTGACATTTGTGTGCAGATAGTTGACAGAATTCAGATAGGACAAGGGTTACCTAATGCCATTAGGATTGGCGAAAGGAAGGCTTTGAAGTTAGCTCTCCATCACTGTGAGAAAGAGGAAGAGTGGGCAGTAGCTCCTCCTCTCAGAAGCAGCTACGACATCATCCAGGAGGGTTTACTACTATAGAATCGGCCAACAGCTTAGCAACCGTGGGAAGAAGCATTCCCCCACACAGTGAGGTTATAGTTTCCCTCTATTTGACACTGGTTAGTCCTCATCTTGAGTACTGCATCCAGGTCTCGACACGGCACTTCAAGAAGGATGCCAACAAATTGGAACAAGGGCAACAGAGGAGGGCAACAAGGATGATCATGGGGCTGAAAACCAAGCCTTATAAGGAAAGACTGAAATGATTTGGCTTGGCATGTTTTGCTTTGAGAAAAGAAGCTGGGGATGAGATAGAATAGCACTTTTGAAATACTTGGAAGGCTGTCAGACAGTGGAGGGGCAGGATCTGTTCTCGATCAATCCAGAGTGCAGGACAAACAACAATGAGGACAAGTTACAGAAAACCAGATTTTGGTTGAATACAGTGGTGCCTCGCTTAATGGCAATAATCCGTTCCAGGAAAATCACTGTTAAGCGAAAAGTCGTAAAGCGAAAATAAAAAGCCCATTGAAAC